TTTATATGTTGTTTATAGCTGCTTTTTAGCTACAAAGCCAGCATTCAAATCTTACAAGATTTTCAGCATAAAATATTTATTGTCTGGCTTTTAAAAATAAGCTTGCTGACCTTTGTTATGGATGATCCTATGTAAACAAGACTTTAAAAATTACCTTAGAGTTAAAAATAATGCTTTAAAAATGAGTTTCATAGTAACTTTTAAATTTTTAGCAAAATGAAAAAATGATAATATTCAATGCTGGTAAAGTTACATCGAAACTGGTATATTTTTATGTATCTGGTTGTTTTTCCAGTTGGTATACTTCATGGAACGCTGTATAGGATTATGTATAAATCACTATAAAATAGTCCCATCTTTTATATCATAGCATTATGTGTGGGACCCATAATTCAATAGAATAATATATATAATGGTGTATATCCAGCATGATCAACAGTAGTGAAATATTAAAGGGAACCTCAGTGCCTTTATAGTATATTACCAGTCAATAAATTGTTTAATGTTACCTCATTGGAATTTTACAGCAAACATTTAAAATGATAGTTTTGAATACAATGTACAAATGTAACAAAATAGTATACATACATATATATATATGTACAGTGATTAATAGTCAAAGACTCACGCACAATTAAAACATGAAAATAGGTCAAGGTGATAGGATTATGTTTTTGTCATGTTTGAAAAATTTTCCTTCATCTTATTTTTCTCTATATTAGAAGATAGAAAAAAATACGTTTTTTTCCAACATTAAAGTTACATTATTGTTTCCTTCAATCAAAGAGGGAAAAGAAATACATGCAACTTTATATCCTTCACTTATTCTACAGATGTCCTCTCCTTTATATTGAATTAATGTTACGTGTCTTATCTGTGCCAAACAAAATGATTTGCTATTTTTTGCCTATTCACAATAGGTAGGAAACAGATTGTCTTAAGGAAATGATGTTCTGAAATTCATTTCAGTTAATCAGAGGAGAGATCTAGTCTTTTTTGTTTTGTTTTATGTGACTAGATTCAGTTTGATGCCTCTCAGCCTTTATTGATTCTAGGTTTTTCTGCTTGGGGAAGAATATTCTTGAGACTCAACACAAAATATATGTTTAAACTGAAATTACGTATATAATTTTGGGGGGTAGATAGTTACTGAAATAGTTGAGAATTCATAAGGTTTCAAAGGAAATGCAGGTACATAAAGTCTCTCTCCATAAGTCAATCAGCTCCCCTCCCCAGAAGCAACCAAAGTTGTCACATTCTTGTTATTCTTTCAGAGAGATTGTATATTTATATATATAATAAATCATTTTTTTACATGATATTTTTATAGTAAATTTTGGAGGTAATTACATATTATTGTGTAATTCTTAGCTTGGTATAGGCAGTGGTTTCTCAGATATGATGCCATAAGTGCAAGCAACAAAGAAAGAGTAGATAAATTGCACTTCATCAACATTAAAAGCTTTTGTACTTTAAGGGCACCATCAAGAAAGTGAAAAGACAGTCTACAGAGTGGGAGAAAATATTTTCAAATCACTTCTCTCATAATGGACTTGTAGCTAAAAAGAGTAAGAACTTTTACAACTCAGTAATGAAAAAGATAAATATTACACTTTTGAAAAATGGCAAAGGATCTGGATAGACATGTTCTGAGAAGATATAAAATGACAAAACTCATGAAAAGATGTTCAACATCATTAGCCATCAGGTAAATGTAAATCAAAACCATAATGTGTTAATTTTGTGGGCAGAGTAGAACTGCCGTACGTGGTTTCTAAGGCTGCAATTTTTTATGTAAGCAAATTGCCACCTCCTTCTTCCATGGAGTGGATGTTGGGTTTGAACTGCCGGCATTTTGGTTGGCAGCCAAGAGTTTTAACCATTATGCCATCGGGCTTCTTTTTATACCCACTAAGAGGGCTTTGGGAGCTCTGGTGGTATAGTACCTAAGGCATTTGACTGCTAACCAGAAGGCTGGTGGGTTCCTCAAAAGGAAGGTTGGGCAATCTACTTCTATAGCGATACAGCCTTGGAAACCCAAGGAGGGGTTGCTGTGACTTGAATTGACTGGATGACAGTGAGTTTGGTGTTGTTTTTTTTTTTGGACGATGGCTATAAAGGAGCTCTGGTGGTATAGTGTTTAGGGCATTTGGCTGCTAACCAGAAGGTCAGGTATTCCATGGAAGAAAAATGAGGCAATCTGCTTACATAAAGATTTACAACCTTGAAAACCCAGTAGATGTTGCTATGAGTTGGAATCAACTCGATGACAGTGAGTTTTTTGTTTGTTTGAGGATGGTTATAATAAAAGAGACAGATAATAACAAGTGTTGGTAAGGATGTGGGGAAATTAGAACCCTCATATACTGCTTTTGTTTTTGTTGTTATGTGCCGTCAAGTCAGACCCAACTCATAGCGACCCCTCCTTGGGTTTCCGAGGCAGTATCACTACGGAAGTAGATTGCCCCGTCTTCCTTCCGAGGAGTGGCTGGTGGGAATATAAAATGGTTCAGCCACTTTGGAAAATAATTTGGCACTTCCTTGGAAGGTTAAACAGAGAGTTACCATTGTTATCCAGCAAATTCACACTTAGGGGTATATGTGTGTGTGTGTGTGTGTGTGTGTGTGAAATAAAAACTTGTATATGAATTATTACAGCAGCTTGATTCATAATAGCCAAAAAGTAGAAACAACCCAAATGCCTATCAATGAAGAGTGGATAAACAAAACGTAGCATATTTAGTCAATGGAATAGTATTAGGCAATAAAAGGGAATGAAGTCACAGTACATTTTACAGCGTATATGAACCTTGAAAATATTATGGCAAATGAAAGAAGCCAGTCATAAAAGATCACATGCTGTTTGATTTCACTTATATGAAATGGCCAGAATAGGCAAATCTATAAACACAGAAGGGAGAAGAAAACGTGTGGACCAGTGTTTAAAACATTTGACTGCTAACCAAAAGGTCAGCTGTTCAAACCCACCAGATGCTCTGCAGGAGAAAGATGAGGCAATCTGCTTCGGTAAAGATTTATTTCCTTGGAAACCTGGGGCAGGCAGTTCTACGCTGCCCTATAGGGTTACTGTGAGTTGGAACTCACTGGCAATGGGTTTGATGTTTTTGGGTTTAGTGCAGAGGAGGGCGCTCTGGTAGTGCAAACAGTTAAGTGTTCAGCTGCTAACCAAACGGTTGGTGGTTTGAACTTAAAGGAGCGACTCTACGGGAAAAAAACCTGGCAAACTGCTTCATAAAGATTGCAGCCTAGAAAACCCTATGGGACAGTTCTGTCTATTACATGGGGTCCGTCTGAGTCAAAATCAATTCAGTGGTGCCTAATAACAACCTGTCAGTGCAGAGGAGGTTGGGGGAAGTGAGTGGGGCCTGACTGGTAAAGAGTGACTCTAGATTTCCTTTCGGGATGATGAAAATGTTATAAAGTGTATTGTGGTGATGGTTGTACATCCCTATATACCTAGAGAAAAGAAGTTCCTTTTTTAGGGACTGCATATTATGACTCCATCACTGTTCATTTAACTGGTCCCATACTGTGAAATTTATGTTGTTTCCAGCCTTTTACAATAATCAGTGGTATTACATTTAATAAGCTCTTATGTAGGTCACCCTGCATTTGGGAAAGTAAAGGTGCTGGTAAACTGAATTCCCAGGCAGAATGTCATTTAGTTGTCAGGAGTGGCTGTAGGGACAAAAGTGAATGGTAATTCACCTCCACTCTTTGTTTTTTTCTTTGCAGCAAATTACAGCTGCCTGCTCCTGTGCTCCCAGCACTCTGGGATCTTCATATTAAAATGCATATTAGTCAAGCTTCTGTTTTTGTTACAGAAACTTTGTTTTTCCCAGGCTTGTCAATGTCATAGAAAGTGACAAAAACCATGCAAAGAATATTTCTATCAGAGGGTTAGCCTTCAAGGTTATTTCCAAGGGCTCAGTGTAAATGATAAATATTAAAATAAAAATATTTTAGGGATACATTTCCCTGTTTGGGTTGAAAGTATATTTATAGCTTGCTTTTTATCATTCTAGGAAATCATGTCATTATCAAAACAAACGGGTGCACACTCCATCTGCATCCTATTCTTTCCTGACCCATGATCATTCAAAGAAGGGATTTGTCCATTTGACCTCTGTTTTGCTTCCACAGAGTAGACAGGGATGAAGTAGCTGTGTCCTTGCTAATACTTGGGTGCTAAGTGATGCCACTGTAAGTGCCTTGAAGGCATGAGCCACATTGTCTCCGTTCTTTAAAGAATATTCTGCCTAGGACTGCAACTGCCTGGTGAATCCCTTTTGTAGAAAAGGAAAAAGGTTCTTTGCCCTGTGTTTATCATTTTCCCCCCCGCCATTACTCTTCTATTTTGTGTACTTTCGAACTGGTTCTATCTGTAGTCTAGTTACCTTTCTTTCCCATTGTTAGGTTCAGAGCGCTCAAGATAAAGTCAGAGTCCCTGATAATCTTGGTTAATTAGTTGTTGTTGTTGTTGTTGTTGTTGTTACGTACTGTTGAGTTGGATCTGACTCATAGTGACCCCTCTTTGGGTTTCTGAGGTGGTATCACTATGGATGTAGATTGCCCAACCCTCCTTCGGAGGAGTGGCTGGTGGGTTTGAACTGCCAGCTTAGTCATCCAGTAATTAATTATTCTGGGTCTTTTACATAAAGGAATCAGTTCTAGGTGCTGTGGTATATATGGAAAATTTATTTAAAAATACAGTGTTACCCTTCGTGTTGCCTACCAGTTAGTGACCCCAGAATAAAAAAGAACACCAGCAAGATGGCTGGCCTAGATGAGACCAGACTGGCAGCACAGAGCCCAGTGAGCAGGCCACAGCCGGGCTTCTTGAGCTAGGGATATAGGCTGAGCTGTGAGGGCAGCAGGCTACTGCATAGGAAGGGAGCAAATGTGAACAGCCCTGGGAAGAGTGGCGTGATAAATGGGGATTTTGCTCATAACTTTGATTGCTGGTTCTGTCTTGGCAGTGCTCCATGGGAACCCTGGATTATATCTTACAGCAGTGCCAGTTGGCTCTGCGGAATTTGCGTGACGAGGTCGATGATGGCGACGTGTCTTTGAAATCCTTAGAGCCTACAATTTTGAAACAAGGAGAAGAGATCCACAATGAGGTGAGGACTTTCAAGAATTGGAAAGGATCTAAGATTCTACCCTGTTTGCAAGCTAACAAATTAATCTGCCACAGTTTCTTACTGGTATAAGATGTGAGACTCCTAGGTCAGAGATGAAGTTGAGTTTATTATTTATGGCATTAACAGTAGCCAGAGTATCAACATTTTTGTGCTGTTTCCCCAAACCCCTACTTCCACAACCCTAAGTAGACAGGATGATTCACGCACATGGAGAGGCTGCAGTATAGGAGAGGAACCTTGGCTTTAGGGAATCTGAATCTTTTATAATGGGCAGTAACCATGCCTGTCCTCTTTGCTCCATATCAAAACATAATCTTTATCTTCCAAGACAGTAAGCAAACTCGCCTTTGGTTCTGGAGGGAGACACTGTATCTATTTTCTATGTCTGTTCACTGTACAAATATGCTTACAAAGATAGTCTGGAATAAAAGACAGCTATTGCCTTGCTTGCCAGACAGGCAGAAATACAAGAGACCTGTGATGAACAGTCTCCCACAGGGACTGATGGGAATTGAAGGGGGCTGTGGGTGTGAGTCAGTGCCTTTCCTTTCATTTATGAAATTATTTGCCATTTTGAAGGTTCTGAATTCCATGAGTCATTGTTTCTCATACTTAACTATTCTGCTGGTATTCTCAATTTATGTCTACCTTTTGACTGTATCTTTTGTTCACTATTTAATACTTGTCTTCAGATAAACTCATTTTGTACTGAAATAAATTTCTTTTTTTTTTTTTTTATTGTGATTTGGGTGAAAATTTACAGAGCAAATTCACTTTCCATACAGCAGTTCACATACACTTTGTCTCATGACATTGACCACAATTTACCACAATGCAACAGCTCCCCTCCCACTTCCTCCCAATAATTACATCTTCCCTGTGTTCATCCCTCCATGCACTTCTGCCCCCTGAGTTGTCTCCCTGTGCATAAGCAGCCCTTCTTTCTCCCATGATTGTTCTCTCAAGGAGTGTATTTACCTCAGGTAAATGTTCAACTCATATGCCTGTCTTTTGTTTGGCTGGAAGCCACAGGTATAGGTTCAATTCCAGACCTGAAGGGCAGCTAGGGGCCATAGTCTCAGTGGTTCCACCAGGCTCTATCAGACCAGCAAACCTGGGAAATAAATTTATTTACAAAGGAAAATCTGCATCATCACTTTAAATAGAAAGCCTATATCACTAGCCGAAAGAGAAAGTAACCATAAAACATACAAGGTGAAAACAGCAATATATAATGGGAGCTCTGGTAGCATAGTGGCTAAGACACTTGCCTGCTAACCAGACGGCTGGCGGTTCAAACTCACCAGCCACTCCTCGGAAGGAAGGTTGGGCAATCCTGCTTCTGTAGTGATACTGCCTCGGAAACCCAAGGAGGGGTCGCTATGAGTCGAGTTTGACTCGACGGCACATAACAACAACAACAACAACATTACTTTCAAGCAGATGCCCTTGAAGGCTGAAGAAGGCCCTGAACCTAAATTCTGCTTTTTTTATGTTAAAAAGGGAGATTCCTGTGATGGCTGCACTACATAAATTTGTTATAAAGTCATTGAATTCTACACTTAATATGGGTGAATTGTATAGGCAGTAAATTATATCTCAAAAAATTGTTGAAAGAAAAAAGGAGAGATTAGCAAGTGGTAGAGAATGATTGAAGGTCATCACCAATTTGAGACTTTTTTTTTTTTGCTCTAACCAGAAAGATTGATGAAAAATGTGGCATATAAAAATGTTTTCATTCATTCTTTCAATAAATTATTACTGAGAATTTTCCAGGCACTGTCCTGGGTTCTTGGGATATGACAGTAAATAATTAAATAGTCTAATGGAGGAAGATAACAATAAATATACTACATCAGTAAATCACATGGTATGTTAGTAATTGAGAAGGGCTAAAGGAGCTCTGGGAGCTCTGGTAGCATAGGGGCTAAGGCACTTGATTGCTCACCAGATGGCTGGCAGTTCAAACCCACCAGCCACTCCTCGGAAGGAAGGTTGGGCAATCCTACTTCCGTAGTGATAACTGCCTCGGAAACCCAAGGAGGGGTCGCTATGAGTTAGGGCTGACTCGACGGCACATAACAACAACAACAACAACAACAAAAGAGCTCTGGTGGCATGGTGCCTAAGGTATTTCACTGTTAACCAGAAGGTTGGCGGTTCAAACCCACCAGCCACTCAACGGGAGGAAGACTAGGCAATCTACTTCCATAGAGATTTACCACCTCGGAAACCGAAAGAGCATCACTATGAGTCAGAATTGACTCGATGGCAGTGAGTTTAGTTTTTTGAGTTTTTATAGAAAATAAGGTTTTCACTGGCCAATTCTTTGAGAAGTTGACGGCCCCTTCCTTTTTGCAAGTCTGTCTTAGTCTGGAAGCTCCACTGAAACCTGTCCACCATGGATGACCCTGCTGGTATTTGAAATATTTGAAATACTGGTGGCATTGCCTCCAGCCTCACAGCAACACCACCACAGTATGACAGGCTCATTAACAACCTGTGATATGCAGACAACACAACCTGGCTTGCTGAAAGTGAAGATGATGTGAAGCACTTACCGATGAAGATTAAAGACTACAGTCTGTAGTATGGATTCCATCTCAACATAAAGCTAAGGGAAAATCCTCACAACTGGAATAAACAGCATCATGATAAATGAAGAAAAGAATGAAGCTGTCAAAGATTTCATGTTACTTGGATCCACAATCAACACCAATGGAAGCAGCAGTCAAGAAATCAGATGACGTATTGCACTGGGCAAATCTGCTGCAAAAGACCTTTTTCAAGTGCTGAAGAACAGAGATGTCTCTTTGAAGACTAAGGTGTACCTAACCCAAGTCATGGTATTTTTCACTTGCTTCATATATACATGTGAAAGCTGGACTATGAATAAGGAAGATGGAAGAAGAGTTGATACTTTGAAGTTGTGATGCTGGTGAAGAATACTGAAAGTACCATGGGCTGCCAGAACAATGAACAAATCTATCCTGGAAGAAGTACAGCTGGAATACTCCTTAGTGGTGAGAATAGCCAGACTTCATCTCACCTACTTTGGTCATGTTGTCAGAAGGGACCATTCCCTGGAGAAGGATATTATGCTTGGTAAAGTGGAGGGTCAGAAAAGGGGAAGACCCTCAATGAGATGGATTGACATAATGGCTGCAGGGCTCAGGTATAGCAAGGATGGTGAGGTTGGTGCAGGACCGGGCAATATTTTGTTCTGTCGTGCACAGGGTCACTATGAGTAGGAGCTGACTTGATGGCATCTAACAACAACAACAACGAAAATAAACAGAACCAGGTAATAGAGTTTGAGATAGTTAGAGAGCACCTCCATTAAGTAGATGTCTTATGAGCATAGACCTGAAGGTGGTGATGGAGTGAGTTATGTGGATATATGGGGAAGAGTACTTCAGGCAGAGGGATTAGCCACTGCAAAGGCTGTGAGGTGGGAGAATGCCTGGCTTTCAGGGAACAGTTAGGGAGGGCCAATATGGTTGGAGTGGAGGGAGCAGGGCTGCAAGTTTTAGATGAGATTTAAGAGACAGTGCTAGGGGGCTAGGAAGCAGCAGATGATGTAGGTCCTTGGAGGTATCTATAAAGACAGGAACTTTCCTTTTTAGTCTGAGGGAAATGGGAAACCATTGAAGGGTTTCAAGCAGAGGATAAACAATGACTAATCCCACAGTGTCATATAATACTCTTTAACAAATCTATCCTGGAAGAAGTGCAGCTGGACTGCTCCTTAGAAATGAGAATGGCCAGACTTCGTGTGACTTACTTTGGTCATGTGGTCAGAAGGGATTGGTCCCTGGAGAAAGGTATCATGCTTGGCAAAGTAGATGATCAGAGAAAAAGGGAAAGACCCTCAGCAAGATGGATTGACATAGTGGCTACAATGATGGGCTCAAGCCCATCAAGCGAGGATTGTGAGGATGCCATAGCACTGGGCAGTGTTTCATTCTGTCGTACATGGGTCACTATGAGTTGGATTTGGCTTGACGGCACCTAACAACAACAACAACAATATCTTGTCAGTCCTCTGGTGGCACAGATTGTTAAGCATTCAATTATTAGCTAAAAGATTGGCAGTTTGAACCCACCCAGAGGCTCCTCAGAAAAAAGGCCTGGCAATCTGCTTCTGAAAGGTCACAGCCTGAAAAACCCCCTGGAACAAACTGTTCTACTCTATAAACATGAAGTCTCTGTGAGTTGGAGTTGGCTCAGTGGCAACCATCCCCTACCACCACCATCACCACCAACGATGTCTTGTCAGTTGTTTCATACTTAATGAAACACTGCCATCATCTCTAGAACCAAAGGCAAAGAAATTCTGCCCTTTGGAGGAATAGTAACCACTTCTGTGGTAGGCTGGATGCAGGGCTGACCATTTCTCCTTCATTGTACTCATAAGTGTTCCATTTTCTCTCCCATTAGTCCCTCCTAGAGACATTGCTGATCGTAGAACTTAGGAAAGATAAGCATTTAGGGGTTGATGATGACCTCCCTGAACTAGAACTGAGCTCAAAGCTGTATCATTCTCCTTGTTTGTAGTGTAGAAATTCTATTTTAGATGTTTAGTTATCTCTTTATCTAAAAACATCTCAATTTTAGAAGGTAGGCTGGCAGACCGGGTGCTTTCTTTCCCATACAGGTGGGCTACTTTTTTTTCCTGTGCTTTCTGGTCTTCTGTGATTGGGATGTTTTGGTATCATCAATGGAGGAGAATTTTAAAAATCACCCTGTTTATTCAACAGTAAAATATAGTCATCTGAATGCATCTGCTTCAGAAAGTGCTGACTGCTTTTGACAATTGAGAATGTTTGGGGAGGTGGGCTGTATCAGAGACTAGCCTGAGGTTGAATGGAGGGAGATCTTGAATCTAAACAGTTCGTGTGTTAGTCTTTCCCATCCTCCAATACTTGATTCTTCAAGGTCATCTCCTTGCATTAAGAATTAATTCCATATGTCAAGGC